GCGTGCGTGCGTGCGTGCGTGCGTGCGTGCGTGCGTGCGTGCGTGCATGCTATTCACATTGTAAATTGCGCGAGCATCAAAAAGTCGCCGCGCTGCGTAAATTGTGTCCGTAGGCGGGTGACCAATCAAATGCATTCATTACATATACCATGCGTATACGCGCTGCAACACTGGTATATGATTGCTACCGCTTCGGCTGGCCTGCCGCCCGATGCACGCAGACAGTTCTGAGTCCGAGTCATGTCAAAGAAAGATGCGATTCAGAGAGAGCGAATAAGAGACGCCGCATTGTGTTGTTGCTGCCGACTCATATGTGATGTTGTGCTTGACTGCCGAGGAAGAGTCACGAGTACGTGCGATGAGCACCTTGACAAACCATGAAAGTGCTGCGACACACTCACTCGCGTGCAAAGCCGAGAAAGCAAGGGCGCGCCATGCCATGCATTATTGCTGCCCATAAAGAGCTTTTGTGGGCAACTCAGGCACACACCAAATGTAATGTTTGACCATGCAACAATTTTGCAGTCGGAGTAGGCTCCATACCAGCGAGGAAGGTTAAAAGGCCTTGAACGCGGTGGACACTCACGCCTGTCTGCGAGTGTCAATCGTCTCGACCGCGCCTGCACCCCCATACAACGACGAATTGCATTCAATTCACGATTTAGAACTCGATTACGACTGTTGTGACTGTTACGGTGGTGGAACACACTGCAAGACATCTCCCGACTGCATGCCGGCGACTCCTCTTCAAGCGCTCGATCCCCCGCTGCATGCTAGTCCGGTGCATACTGGCCAGTATTATTGTATCACCGCTAGCGAAAGGTCTTACAGTAGCTTTCATCAAGTTCCAGACTCAGACCTGCGGCTGTCGCTTAGAAAGCGACAGCCTATGCATAGGACCAGAGCGTAGGTCTGCGTGGGTGTGAGTAGGGGCAAGATCCCACCCCTGGCTGCTAACGCACCTCACACACGGCCCTCCGCTTCCCGCCTTTTGCAGCAGGGTTTTAAGCTCCGCACACCTTGAGACGCCGTGAGTAGTCTTGAGTGCCTCACTCAGACCCTGTCCGGCCGCTGCACTGTTTAAATTTGAATGCTTGACTGCATGGCTACCGGTACTCGCTACTACTCTGATGCAAAGACTCGCGACTACGGGATCGCCACCGCGGCTGCAGCAGCTGAACGGAGCAACATCATCAGCATCGGCACAGGTAAAAGTGAAACTTTGCACAGTCTTGGCTTCCCGCTGCCCTATGCTGCTGCTGCTGCTGCTGCTGCTGCTGCCTGCTGCACTGACGCCCATAGGTGCGGTTGCGAAACATGGTGCGGTCCCGTTGTGATGCTGCGTGCACCTCCATCACGAATGCTGTGTTCAATGTACGCATGGACACTCACACTGCAGCCAATTGTGGTGTCATCCTTTGCAGCACGCAGTTCTCTTGGCTTGGACCATTTCTCTTCCACATCCTTCGCGATTCGCTTTGCAAGCGTCCCTTATTCACACATCTCCCCTTTGGTCCGGATCCTCTGCGCGCACCGCATTAACTATATCACACTCACCAAGCTTCCAATCAGCTCCCATCGTCCCCAGTGAATCGACACTCGAGATCCACACTAGCCCAGCTCACCTCGGCACCATCTTGGCTTGCGCTGCCTTGCCCTCCCTCATTGTTGGTGCTTGACTCGCTAGCTCAACCTCGCCATTGCGTTGGCGTCTGCCTCGGCACTTGTTCACCAGTCTCGCATCAGCGTCCAACTCATCAATCGCCTTGCCTTCGTCACACGCTCTCCTCTAGCACAAAGGTCGGACGATCGCAAGGCGATCGTGGCCGAGGTAGCGGCATGGCTTCCCACCTGGGTCGTCGTCAAGCCGGGACGTTTGCGCCACCAGGAAGCAACAATGGTGGCGGCGGAGATTCATGGCCATGGAAGTGGTTGCTCTTTCTCATCCTCATCGTCTTCATCTTTGCTATCGTCGTGCTTGTGGTTTGGCGGGTGAGCAGAAGGAGAAGAAGGAATAGAAATCGGATGAGCGTGCTTCGCAATGTCAATCTCGTCATCGCAGAAGACGAAAAGGCAAAGGACAAAGCGCTTAGCAGAGGGAACAGCGTAATGAGCAGGGTCAGCAGGATGACGAGTATTAGGGGTGGTAGCAGTCTGCAACACCAAAGCAGCGTGAACCATGGCGCCAACGCTAAATCCTTCGAGTCGAATGCCGTTTCCGCCAAGGAGAAAGACGCGCCTAGAGATGATTTGGACAAACAGGAGTCCAAGGTGCTGGAGCACGCCTACGACATCGACGAAATTCTCATTTCAAGAGGTGTGCTCAGTGCCTCTCAAAGGTCTAAGCACTCGCGGTACTCGCAAAAGTCAACCTCTGGAAGACCTTTGACAACTCCTGCGCGTGCACACATCGCACGTCACGGAGCCAATCATCAACAAGCCCCTTTCCGTCCCGGCTCTGAGCGTATCGAGCTGACTGATGAGCCTCAGGATCTGGAAGCGGGCACCAATAGTGTCGGCGCTGGAGACGAAGCAGGCAGTAGCTCTCCTAGAGTGCGAATAGTATCACCGTCGTTCGCGCGTCCAGGAGGGCATGCTATGCGAGGCAGAGGTGGATCGCGAGACGTCAAAGAGCTGAGCGTGATAGGCGAATCTGGCGCAAGCGAAGCGATGTCCACCTCAGCTTTGGGTCTCTCCCGATCTGAAACGACAGCATCAGTTCTTGCCTCGGGCGAAGCGCCGTCGAACGAATCTTCGACGTCTTCTGGTTCTGTGGCTCACGCAAGCAGGTACGGTCACTCGCAACGCGGTGCCAGTCAAAGCACTACTAGTACAGACATCTCGCCAAGCGCCGCGTTTGCTGTTGATCCTTTCAAGAGCCCAGCTGCGAGTAGTTCTGGCCATGGGAACCAGGCTTCCTGGAGCGCTATCAGCCAGCACAGCAACAATGCATACACGCCCGTCACTTCGCACGGCCACATTGCACCTGCTGAGTCGTCTGATCACCTCCACCGGCAAGGCTCCACCAAATTGCAGCGAGACGGATCCAACAAGGGTGGTGCTATCGGCCGTAGGCTGAGTGCTGTCATCCGTCTGAAGCAGCCAAAGTCTCCCAGAGATCCGCGTACACCAAATGTAGAAATCATGCAGCGCCAAGAAACACCGTCGCCAGAGTTCGAAATGATGAACGGACCCCGGGCCTCAGAAGCGCAAGCAGGGACGTCTGCCGCAGCTTTTGTTACCGACACAAAAGCTGCACATACCCTTGCTGCGCCCACCACGCGAGACGCTGAGCAGCAACGTCAGGGCAGGACATCGCTGGCCTTGTCAGACAAGTCAGCAAGCACCGCTGGTCAGAGGTACGCGATTGGATCTCCGCAATCCATCACTGTTGCATTGCCAGCTGTGGAGGCGGGCGAGAAAGAGCAGCACAAGGCGACATCTTCCTCCGAGGTCGGCTCTGGACCTTGGACGTACACGTCCAAGGCTCAACAGTGGCGGGATCAGAAAGCCGCTGCTGCGGCAGCTGCCCGGCAAGAGCTAGGTCTCTCGACCACGGCTACGGATGCGAATATCAGACGCTCTTCATCCATGCGGACACCCGAATCGTCCACGAAAAATACCGCCACGGCAGTCGTGCCATCCAAGACGAGCACTTCTGCAACACATTTGGCTGTTCCGACAAAGAGTCACAGCATAGAAGTGGGTAGTTTGCCCTCCTCGCCTCTCAAAAGAACTCCAAGTATAGGCGTTGCTGGATCCAAGTTCAAGGAGACTTTCGACGATGACGATTGAGCATCTACCAAGCTCTGTCACCGTCTGCTTTCTCCTTTCCGATTCGTATTGCACCGAGCGTCGATGAGCCTTTCAGGCACTGCAGCCTCGCCTTTATCGCTCGTCATCTGGATCAGTCTTCCGCACTTTCCTTTACATCACCATCATCACCTCTTTTGGCGTCCCAACGATAATCTCAGTCACGCTGTTTCCCCAAGCTCCTTATTTTTCTCCGGGCCACACTCCGCTCTCGAGTCACTCTTGCGCTTCTCCCATCTGTAATCACTTCGAACTTGCGTACTTTGTCCGCCGGGTCTGCCTCGTCATCGCCAAACCATTTCCCCTCTTCCCCCATTCACCTGTCGAAGGACGCTCGACTTTCCTCGTCCTCAGCAGTGCATTTCCATTCCCAACCTGTACAGACACGCAACGCACTCTGCAAACTTTTCCTGAAAGCTTCGTATACTTCGGCACTTGCTCCGTCGAGATCAGGCGCTGTAGCCACATGTCCAGTCCAAGCAAACACTTGAACTCTTACTTTTCCCCTCTTTGTTTTTACACTCATGTCAAGCAGGATCAAATGCAATACTATCCGTGGCTTATGCGCGACCGATCTGCTACCCGTCGATCCCTGCCATCTGGGGCGAATGAGCACTGCTGTGAACCGAGTCGCGCATCCTGCTCTGCCAAATATTGGGCGCCTAGCCAACGCCCCCCTTCAACTCCCAGCGAAACAGGGTGCATTTGCAAGTGTGATGAAATCGTAAAAAGTGCCAAGGTGGGGAGGGGGAGAGAGTGGAGTGGGTATCTGTCCAAAAACTTTGTATGACGAGTTCAAGATGACCAAAAGGGGAAGAAGGGGTTGAGAAGCGATCGTGCGTGTGGCCAAACGTGCAAGGGCTGGAACGAGAAGAGCGGCGTTGCCAAGGAGGAATACAGGTCTGAGGGTTGAGTGGGGTGAGGCGAAGCCAGCATCGTTTAGCGCAGGCTTTAGAGAAAGGCTACAAGACGCTCTCGCGCTGACGGGTTTATGAGCATTTGAAAAGAGTCTGGGCAAGTCGATTATAAAAGTGATCACGCTTGAAGGTGTGGGGAGCGAGGGGGATCTAGGCTTTACCAAAAGCTTCGATTCGGCGCTGATGAGCCGTGCTGTGCATCTTGCCGCCCCTCGTCGATCCATTCCTGTGTGCTCCTTGAGGCTGCTGTTGCTGTTGAGACTGATACTGCTGGGCAGATGCATTTTGGCCTTGGCTGTTCGCACCGGCAGCGTCCAAGGCGCTTTGAGACGCATCGCTAACTGCGCCTCTCACCTTCTCGTTGGCAAACTTGATGGCTGCGTTGGATGCGCTCAAAGGTAGAGTGACAGGGAGCGTGAGGAGGTATGCAGGGCCTGAAGAATACCACTTCTCGTTGGGTTTGTCCGCTTGTTGGGCCACTGCGCTGTGCGGCTGACCAGGTAGATGCGAGGGCGATAAAGGCGGCGAAGCCATCGGATGCGCACTCCCAGCGTACAGACGGGGATCCGCTGCTGAAGTAGGGTAAGAGGCCGCTACATTCACATTTGGAGCGGGCCCGATGGTTTTGTTGTAGGCCGACGTCGACGTGGTGCCCTCAGGAGCAGCTAGGCCTAGTGAGGCCGTCGACGGGAGGCTGCGAGGGGCGTCGTAGAGGTAGTGACGTTGAGACTCGTTTCGCTGTCCCAAAGCAAATTTGAGCGCCTGGAATATGGAAGCCGGAAGCAAGCTTGCGCGTTCACGCTCTCTTCGCTCTTCCTCGATGAGCTCTGCGTTGATCGCAACCTCGCGCAACAGGTCCTCCAAACGTCCTTCAAGCAGGCCAAACTTGTCTTCTGCAGACAAGCGCAAATGCTCTCCCTTCTTCTCGTAGCGTCGCATGGACCGACTGAGCTGAGTCAAAGGCACATCGATGCCTTCTCGCAGAGTGGACACGTCGGTCTTGAGCGCCACCAAGCGTCGAAGAGCAGCAATGTCCGTCTCCAGGGATGCGACGCGGTTGTTGAGAGCCTGGACGCGGGAAGAGGGATAGTGGACCACTTCGTGTAGATGCAACACACGCTGTCGAAGCAAGGAGAACGCATGCTGCAGCCGAGCAAGGCGAAATCAGCGAAAAGCTCCACATCGGATGGCAGAACAAACGCTTTCATGCTCACTGTCCAAGGCTTGATGCCCGCTGCCAGCATAAAGAGGCGGATGTTGAACTTGTTGCTGGAAGGGTATCGATGCGAATAAGCGCATTTCGCAGAGCCGCATGGAAGCTTTGACGAGACTCACAAATAACGATTACCCTCTGTCAAATTCTCCATGAGCCACTGGAGCACCCAAGCCCCAGCCACAGGGCTGGCCACGCAAGCGAAAAGGCTAATGGCTTCGGTACGCTTGAGTTCAGCAATGGCTTCCAGCTGCTGCACAGACACTTCGGAAGAGTCTTCGTGAGAGTCGGCCGCTAGTATGCGTCTCGTCCTGGCCGCATGATAAATGTCGTGTGGAACGCGCAAGAATTGATACAGCCAAAAGGCAGACAAGATGAGCAGGACCGCATCCGACCAAGCGTCGGCTTTGCCGCCCAGAAGCGCTCCTGCTGGTGGAATGAGAGCGATGAGTAGCGGTGCGTAGTGCCATCCGCCGAGCGCCGAGGTCGCCGACTCCGCAACGCCTTCGGCTACAGCTTCTGCAGCTTCGGACGCAGCAAACGGACCAGAAGTGGAGCCAGAAGGTTTGAATGAAGTGGACCCGGACGATCTCATCGCATCGTCGTCTGCCCACTCATCGATGGACACCGATGCGCGATGGCCTGGATGCTTGGCACCTGGTGAAGATGCGGGGGAGATCGTGGATGGATCTGCCAATGGATCAGATGGGCGCGATGAGGAGGAGACGAAGTCGTCATCCTGCAATGATGAGGGGGTTGCTGCTGAGCCTTGGTGCCTCGAGCTGCGCCTTCTGGAAGACGACATGATTGCAAGGCCTGCTGTGTTGTGTCGCAGAAAGGGTCGAGATTGACGCGCACCCTTGGCGGTGAAATGCCGGGTTGTTCACGCGTGGGATGAGTGGAGGCTTGTTGCGTTTCAAGAAGCGACACGATCAACTGAGCCGATCAGCGAGAATGTTCTGCTGTGGATGGCTGGAGGAAAAGAGTGGTGATATGAACACAAGCAAGCGGGCGGAGATGATGATCTGGCTGAGGTGTGATGAAGATGCCTCCAGATTTGTTGATCGCCGTGGGATGGATGAGATCAAGTCTGCAGTCAGCAGTCAGCAGTCAGCAGTGGCTGAGCAGACGATTTAGGTTCGTGATGCTCAATTGGCTCCTTACCCGCTTGGCCACCAGTCATGCACGCACAGCAGCAGTCACGAGTCGAGCATTCGCGAATTCCCATGCAGTCGTGATTGTGTAGGTACGGTACTCGCAATCGAGATTTCGAACTCGACCAAACCAGCATCGCGCAGCTCCACATCAGTCTCATTAGAGTCGTGAGTGTGGACAATGGCCAAAAGTGTTGTCGAATTCACGACTTGTGGTGGCGGCATCTGCAGATTAAGCGTAGCGTGCATGGCATATGTACCGGTATGCAGCGGACCGTGCATGCAACAGTCGTGAGTGTGAGTCACCATCAGTCGTGAGTCTCATCTCATTCATCACGTCCAAGTCAGCAAGCAGAGTCAGAGCAGTCAGTCGCGGGTGCAGGCAGGCTTGCTCCAAGCATCCATAGAGAGTCGTCGTCGTCGTGAGTTTGAGCAATAAGCGGCGAAACGATGCAGATAGGCAAAGCATTTCCCACCCAACACGCCATCGTCGTGATTCGTGAGTGCAGGCAGGGTATGACCTTTGTTCGGCGGCGGGTGTCGGGTCAATCTCCATCCATCCGCCTGGTCGGTTAGCGGTACGGTACATTACAGGCACTTGCTGTGGCTGTCACACTTCACCTTTAGAGCCATCTTCTCAAGAAGAGCTGCGAAGACAGGACTGATCCGAGCATTCCGGACACCACAGCCAACTCTTCTTTCCCAGCTTAGCACTCGGGACCACGATCGAGGAATCGCTATGCGGCAGTCCACGGTCAACAAGGGTTCCGAGTGCATCTGAGTGCGAGCAAGCCATTCATTCGGCCGTGTCCGCACGAGAGCATGCACGCACCACGCACCCCATACCGTGCTATACCATCAGTACCCATACGCATGCACAACGCCTACCTGACCGCATTGCAGCAGCGATGGTG